GGCCAGTGGCCAGTCTGTCGTGCAACAATTCATCATGGTGCTTGGCAGTGACTGGCATCAGTTCAAGTAACTTACCTAGTGCAGCATGGACAGCTTATCATGCAGATTAACACAACAAAAGGCTTTCTGGAGGCACTCACTTACCCAGCTGCTGTACTGCTTATACCGATCTATAAAGAAAATAATCCAGTTTCCAAGTGTTTTGAGCGTGTCAGGAGCCAGCCGCCGCCAGATGCCGGGAATCTGCCCGTTAAAGAGAGCCCGAGCCACATCGTCCAGTTCACTGCTCATCCCAACTTCCCCAGCCAAGGCCTGGAAAGACAGTGAGAGGCTGAGGCCTGACTGACTGTAGCTGCTGTGCGCAGCAGTAGCTGTGTCCTCACTCACACGCTGTAGCTCAGCCAGTGACTTCGCCATGCGAACAATCAGCTTATTAAAACGTTCCAGCTCCTGCAGCAGCACCACGGTTGTAGGGGAAAGGTCTCGTCCAAAATGTCTCCGTATCTGGTCGAGATCGAACACTTGCGGTATTTTGTTCTCTATATCCTTAGCAATGTTTGCAATGTATTCATCTCGACTGATTCCCATTCCAGTTTCACCTGAAACCAACACGGTTGAGTGAGACTAGGTCTGCACAGGCTACCCCTTCCTGCTGTTAACTCCCTAGGGGAACTCTGAGAGCTGCCTCCCCTTCTGGCATCGAAGCCTCACGCTCTGCTGCAGCAGCCTCCCTTGGGCACACCATGACCTGCTCCCGTGCTCCCCATGATCTCCTCATCCCCACCCAGGGTGCACCCTGAGGCGGGCTGTGACAGGCTGGCTGGGAGCTCACCAGCCACCTCCTGATTCTCATTTACACAACCAGTCATGGAGAACACACCCGTCTGAGGCTGCAGCTCGAGGAGGTGGCTCCACATATCCCGCACTGCTTGTGTGTAGTACCCAATCTCGGCATTGGCATGAAGACCAAACACCTCCGGGGTGTTGGCCAGCGGCAGCGATTCGATCGCCTCTGCAAGACAAAAACATGCTCCTAAAGATGTGATAATTAAACCAGAGCTACCAGGCAAAAGAGAATAGTGCAGGGACTTCTGTTGCTGCTCTGCTTGGGAAAAGTGTTACAGCTGGGGTTGAAACACTGCAAGGATCAAATAAACATTTTTAACCCCTTAG